TGGGCAGGGGGCAGAGAGGGAAATACAGGAGACTGGCGGGGGCCTGGATAGCAGGATTCAAGGAAACAAGACACAGCATGGAAGGAGAATATGGAAGGCAGAGTTGAAGAACCAAGAGAGAGGTGGGGAGGGGGAAGTGGGCTGCCAGGGCATAAGGGAGGCACACTGCAGAGCAGAAATGTAATTGGGCAGTTCTGTACCCTGGGCAGTGGCAACAAATGGGGCAGCAGCTGCAGTCAGCCAGGCAGCAGTGGCTGGGCCAGCAGTATAGTAGCTGCTATTTTTGCACAACCCGCCACCCCCATTACACTACTGGTGCAAAGCAGGGAAAGGCAAAGCCTTACAACCTTGGTTCTTTACATAGAAAATGTTAGGTGCTTCAAGTTTTCTCTTATGGATAAAGGTATGATTCTTCCACCTTTCTGTTCCTTGCACCATGCTGATGCCTTGGCTCTTTTGTTTATGCCTCTCCCGAGTGCGTAACTTCTACACTACTTCCCTTTCTCCCCTCATCTCCTGAATCCCTTTCTATGCTCCCTCCATGCTTTTAACTCTTACAGTATTCCTTATCCGTGGCCCCCGTGCCTATTGCCACATGCTTCCTCTGTGTCCTTGATCCCATCTTTTGCTCCCCACATACTCTAGCAGTTTGCTGCTTCTGCTCTATACACATGCACGCACACACACTTGCCTTCACCAGAGCTGTGCCTTTGCCTTCTGCTCTGAGAAGCTGTTTAGCCAAAAGACTCCAACTAACATATTCCAGCTGAGATAGAAATAATGTGTTAGCTGCTCGAGTGAATTTCTAGCTTTAAATATCTACTGTTTTGCTTACACTAGACTGAAACATGTTAGAGAAGATTGGCCAACACTTTACTACCATACATCTTTTAAATCTAAGATAAGGCAAAGCTTCTGGGATTCAGAGTCACTACTCTAATCCATCCCTCCATGTATCTTCTAGTTCTTGCCCTGTCTAGTTATGTCAGTCTGTTCCCCCTTCTCCCCACCAACACCTAATAGCCTTCCATCTTTTCTCTGGGGTGAATTATTGCTGCAGCAGGTAAGTTTGCTACAGATTTCAGACAAGTGCATAACCTGCTTAACTGCATAACATAATGTGGATACCATTTTTTAATCTATTACTTATATTTTAACAAATATTAATTATCTGCATATTAGTTAAGGGCCCAAACTGCTAAAACACACAGGAATGTTTTGACCCCACTGTACATTGTAATGTAATTGTATTCCCTTTAACTGCATAAGGGGTGGAACTGACTTACAGCCATCAATTTTAAGGCTTCTAAAACAATGTTTAACTGTTCAGTTCAAGGCTGCTATTAAAGGCAAAAGAGAAACAATGTTAAGAGCAGAAGCATAAAACACACTGTTCCCGTAGTTAATGAGCGTTGTTTTACATTGGGTTTTAGTAAGTGCATTATCTGGCTAAGTACATACACTGTTTTCAGCCCTGAGGCTATGCACTTAAAATGGAGTACATTCATGTTTATAAATGTTTATATATGAACAAATTTAGACTCTAAACATTTAACAAGACTCTTTATATTTTAATAATTCTACATTTTAGAATTGTAAAATAAATCCAATAATTATCCATAGTTTTTCAAAAACATTGAATAATAAAGACATGTTTGCAATATCCATAACTACAAAATGGTTCTTCCAAATGTTATCAAACATCCCCAGGATACCTTTCCTCCAGAGTGAGACTCAATGACTAAGGACAGACAGTACATATAAACTGGTTTAAGTCATCAGAAACTGGTTTAAAGCTGTAACATAACAGACTACAGTGCACATAAACCAGTTTGAAAATGGCTGAAACCAATTTGAGATAAACCTGGTTGAATGCATGTGGACAACTAGCCATGCCTGCAAAACAAAACTGCAATCCTTCGCTCTTGATGGACTGGATACTCTCCTTTAATTGTTTCCTGCCACGACTTAGATGGAAAAGGAATGAATCAAAGATGAACACAGTCCTACGAGATACGGTTGATGTTAATTCTGCAGTTTAGAAGGCTGACTCCTCTTCACAGGGCTCCACCATCCCCATACCCTGTCCTTACCATGCCAGATGTTATAACTTCACTTACGTTAGGTCTCTCCTGTGGGAGCTAGTCTCCAAATTGGTTTGCTCAGTCTCTTGTCAGCAATTTCCTCACCCTCGGTCACTTGCCTCATTCTTCCCCACATGGGTCCCAAGTGAACCATCACACTGCTCGTCTGTCAACTTATCTTTCAGTGTAGATGTAGATGCCAATGCCCCAAACTCTGGTTCCCACTCAGCTCCATCTCTTTCCTCCTCCAGGTCTCCGGGACAGGATCCCACACCCACTGGACTTGGACGCACCGGTCTAGACACTGCTGCTGTCCCATCTCCTTGGTGCTGCAGGTAAATCTGTCTTCAGAACTGCATATTAGTTATGCAGGGAGACCCTGGGGTCTCCCCGAGTCTCCTTTCTCAATTGTGCCATCCCCCTTGCTCTGCACTCCCTCAGATTGTCTTCAGGGTATTTCCCTTCCTCTGTGGAGAGCCAATTGCCCATCCAGCTCTCTTTAATTCCCCCGCCAATCACCTGTGTCTACTGTGGCAGTGTTCCATTCGCTGCTCTGCCAGCTCTTGCAGCTGATTGCTCTAATTACCATCTGGGTTTTTCACATGTCTTTTCCCCTGCCCAGGTTTGCCTTGTCTTCTCTCCCTACCCGGGCTCTTTGCCCCAATAAGTTTCTCTTCTTTTTTCCTTCCTTTGGAGTTCTGTAGCAGAAAAGGCTGACTGCCCTGTCACAATATAGTATCAGACTTAACTGATTTGGGTCGAACCAGTTTATGCAATGTCTGTCTCAGACCCCTTCCTGGTTTAAGTTAAACCAGTCCCCCAGCATCCCAGATACTTTGCAGCCCTGGGTGGGGCTGTCTGCTGGAGCAGAATAGGGTTGACCCCTACCCTCTTCTTCCTAGCCAGAGCACTATTACTGCTCAGGCTGGCTGAGGGACTACAGCGGCTGCCATCTTTCCCCTGTCCCCCACCTTTCACTGCCCCCCACCACTGGCTATTCAAGCAGGGATCCCCCCTCCCACCCCTCTCTCATGGCAGGGACCCCAGTGCAGGGATCCAGCATCTGGCCATTCCCCCAGCCCCCTGCTAGCTAATGCTGAGAGGTGTCTGTGTGGGTTTCCAATTTCAGTGGAATAAAGGGAAACAGGTAGTGGCTTGCAAATGCAAATGCACCCTGCAGATAAGAAGAGCTTGAAACTAATGAGAGAGGTGTTTTCTTTTGTAGGGCTTGATGGGCTGATAAACTTTGTTCTGACAAGCAACCTGCTAGCTGCAATCTGTTAGTCTTCAAGAGAGGACAGAGAAAGGTGTTAGAAATTACCTGGTTTGCAGTCAGTCTGAAGAAGCAGGGAGATGGAGATTGAAAAGCTCAGTATCAACAGATGCATGGTCTGGCAACACTCCTCCCCTTGTGCAGCAAGTGGGGAAGATCCTGGGATGGTGTAGGCAGGGTTGGGGCATATACCCCTCCCTAATCAGAGCATCCTGCTGGGCCTGGCCAACCCCCCCAACCCTGAGCACAGCAGTGTCAAAGGGCATGGAGGGCTGCTCTAGCAACCCCCTGGCTTCTAGCCTGAGCCACTACAGGCATGTCCCTGCATTTCTGGAATGAAAAGGGAGTGTCTATCCACCTCCAAATCAGTTCAAGCTTTGCAGGTTAGATTAACCTTCAAAGATTGAATCAATTCAGGCTCAGGCTTTTTGAATGTCTGTCCCTAGCCAAGATGTATATTTTAAGTGGATCAATATCTCTTTGGAGAAGTTAGGGTACAGTTAGAAACAGGACTTGGAAGGCAAAGTTAGCTTCCAACTGAACTATACATTTAGCTTAGTATTCAGAAAGTTCAAGATGCTTTCATATTTGAGGTTTGAGATTTATACTTGCCCTGTACAAAAGGTGGCCTTTCCAGAAAAGAAGACTAAGGTGGGAATTAATACCAGTCTTTAAACACAAAAAGGGTTGTTATAAAGGGAACGTTGATGAATTGTTCTGTGTGTTCACTGTCCCTTGCAGTAAGGGAGACTTAGGCCGGATATTAGAAAGAACTTTCCAAGTGTGACAGTGATCAAGTACTGAAACAAATCACCTAAAGCGGTTGTGGAATCTATATTCTAGAAAGTTTTTAACAGCAGCTTAGATAAACACTTGAACGGGATGATTTAAACAGGGATAATCCTGTCTTGAGCAGGGGTTAAACTCACTAGATGATCTCTTGAGATTCCTTCCAATCCTATGTTTCTATAATTTCCATATTGCCAGTTCCCAGCATTAAAAAAATTCACATTAGGCCCCCAAATCATGAAGTGTCTAATTTCTGACAATAGAACTTAGGTTCTTTTTATTAGCCTTTTGATTTCCAAGTCTTTAGAGTTCACATAGATTTGATTCCCAAACATTTCTCCATAAACTATGAGAGTCAGAAACCAGTATTATTATTAATGAAAGGTGAGATTCAACATCATCTCTAAACTTCATCTGTGATCATCATCACAAACCATATGATTTCCATGCACTCCTTAGCAGGGCACATCAAATCCTGGAAACGAGTCAGTGTAGTCAGCTTTGAACAGCACTGTGTGCACACAACCCCACCACTCTCAGACTCTCTGGCCCCTGCTACACATTACATATGTTATGCAATTGGCTGGTTAATTTCATGATAAATGTAGACTGGCTACACATGCAAAGTAGGAACAGCTACACATGCAAAGTAATTATCACACAATGAAGATGACTATCTAGCTATAAAAAGAGCCAACTAGCTATCACATTAGTGCTTGAAAATATGTAACAACTCTATAGCTGATTTCTCTCCAGCTTTATTTTGAACATTTAGCAGGGCCCTCTGCCCCAGATGAGCAAAGCTCAGGGGTGCTCTAAGGCAAATTCCTTGTCTTATTTCTGGGAGTGGGAACAAGCTGAATGCAGGGGAGATCCCTTGATCCTCTCAGCTCAGCAAGTGTAGTTATAGGGTGAGGCCTGCCCTTTGCACTCTGTGCTGGATGAGCCCTATGAACTTCCCCAAATGAGGGAAACTGAACTGCACAATTTTGTGGTAGTGGGGGACTGTGTTTTTGTTTTCCCTGTGGCTTGCTTCTCACCCTTTTGTCTAGGAGCAATCAAGACTAAGGGGCATCCAAACCCCAAAGCCTCCAGGTGTGGGGCTTGCATGTAGGAAGCCTGCCATGGATTTGAGGAGTATCCGAAACCCCAGACCAATGGGTCTGGGAGGAAGGATACTTGCCTGATTGTAGAGCCATACACAATTGAATGATTAAGCTCTGCTTAGTCAAAATTTTGAGATTGACTATTGGGATTTGCCCAATACAATTTGGAAGTGATTTGGTCCTTGAAATGGGGAGGGGAAGGATGTGGCTGAGAAGCATGCATCATCCAGAGAAGCTCTGTGCCACATGCACCAAGGTTGTGTAGACCAGTCTTGCATTTTACAGGTGAGAAAGCTAAGATGAGAGGTTAAATGAATTGGCCAGGCTTGTAGAGGAAGTATGTAACATTGCCCAGAAACTGAGCCTAGATCCTGTGACATCTCTAGTTTTGTGTTCTGACCATAAGGCAAACATCATAAGAAAAATGTAAATAATACTATCATTACTGGGCAGTATTTTGACAGATCAAAACAAAGTGAACTTCTGCATAAGGCCACAAACGTTTTTTTAATATCCTAGTGCTTACTGTTTGCTTTTATGGCTTGAACAGTTCTGTGACTGATGCACAACTAATTCATCAAACTGTTCTGAACATAGTCTCTGAGACAAAGAAGCTGCCCTGATGACAGCACTCAAGCGTTCCTGTGTATTCCCTTCTTTCTCTTACTGCAGACCATGCAACAGCCTTGCTATTCAAGCTCATGTTTTTGTTATGGAACAAAAGCCTCGCTCCCAGCTGTGGCGCCAAAAATCTAGTGCACACTGTAAAAGTAACTGACAGATCGGATGTGTAGTGTAGTGGAGGCCTGGACTGGATCGACCAATAATAGGCTCCCTTTAACTAAACCACACATGTTTACAGGCAGCATTCTGCCGGTAGGAGGAAAAGTCATAGTGAAAATCTGTACAGGACTCTAGACGGGAGCATGGCAAAAATGTACTGCGAGCATTCATATGATGTAGAACTAAGATTCAGCTGCTCAAGTGACTAGAGGGGTGGGATTTCAAATGGGAGGATTAAACACTCAGTTTTGCTTACCTTTGTATGTGAGAACAAAACAGATATAATTTCCTTAACTACAATTTCCATACAAGTCATTTTTTCTTCACACTCTTAACTGTCTGTGCATTCATTTTTGTTGGGAGAAGAGAGGACTGTTCAGATCTCTCCAAAGGTTGGTATCCAAGTGGATCGTGGGGGGGATCAATGTACTTTTTTTCTTTTCTCTTGTTTAGATAGGAAAAGGAAAGAAAAACTTTTTTATGGAAGCAGATGCAGATAACAGATATTTTATATGAAAACTTCCATTAAAAAACAATTATAAATTTTTTAAAAAATCAATGAGCTTGAATGAATATTGTCGATCTTCTATAGAGCTGTAACTTATTCATTCTGGGTGCATCTACACATGCGCTTTACTATGAAGTAGGCTTATTAGCTCTGCAGTAAAGCATCACTGTCTACACATGTGCTGGTATTAGAGCATAGTAAATTAATTAACTCCGCTGTAAGATAGTACTCTCAGGGACAGTACTACCTTACAGCAGAGTAAGTAATTGTGCTGAAATGCACATATAGACAGTGACAGGGATTGGCTGGGGCATGAGGGTGCTAAATAGGGATGTGCGAAGCTTCGGTTGCTGATTCAATTTGGAGGAGTTTCGACCCAATTTGGCAGCCGAATCTCCAAATCTAAATTGAATCGGAAGACCAATTAAAAGGTCTGAATTGATTCAAAGCCTCCAAATTGATTCGGAAAAGATTCAGAGATTTGGGCAGTCCCTGGTCGCCGCCGCAGGGAGCTGGACCTGGGCTCTGTGCTGGTAAGTAGGGGGCAGGGCAGGGCAGGGGGTTAGAGAGAGGGGGAGGGGACCATGGCGGGACCCCCACCAGGCCCCATCCCCTGCCTGCTCTCCTAGTGCCCCTGAGCACCTCCCAACACCTGCCCACTCTTCCAACCCTGTCAATGGCTTCCCTGCCTGGCACCAGCATCCCAGCATTTAAAAAGAAAACAACCCTCCCACCCCACACACTCACTGACTACTGCAGCAGCCATCAGGGCCTCTGGGGGTTGGTGGCAGAGCCCCCCCCACACAGTGTGGAGCAGTGGGGGGCAGTGGGGATTGCCCCCCGCCCCACCTGGCAGGAGCCACTGAGTGCAGGGCTTATTTATTTATTTATTTATTTTTGAAGTGCTGGGGCACTGGGCCTGGGAGCCATTGACAGGACTGGGAGAGTGGGCAGAGGATTTGACAGCGGCCGAATCTCCAAATCAGATTCAGCTGAATCAATTCAGGACAGTGATTAGAATCACTGAATTGAATCACTGTCCCCTGAATCTGCTGAATCTGAATCCGAAGCGAATACTAGCCATTTTGCACAGACCTGAAGTGTGGGGGCTGCCTGCCACCTAGCCACATGCTAGCTTCACATGTTCTATATCCTCATGCCCCAGCCAGCTCCTCTGCCACCCAACACCAGCTGATCCCTCATGCCCCCTGCCAGCCTGGGGCTGCTCCACCCTGGCTCAAATTGCTGCTGTCCTGGATGCACATGCAGATGCTGCACCCAGGAGCAGTTTTCTCTAGCGAGAACTGCTCCAAAGTTTATCATGTCATATTAATTGCCCATGTAGATGTACCCTCCTTTACTTTTTTCCCTTTTATGCCCTTTAAGATTAAGTTGGCCATATTTCTGAAATTACAAGGATAAATTATGATGAAGTTGACAATTTTTCTCTAGTGTCTTTATGGTCATTGAATTTCATAGAATTATTGACCTAATTTGCTTGTTTTTTCCATGAAAAAAATGGTTTCTTTTTAATTCAGTCTAGGCTTCAAGATCATAACTCTTTCCATCTTGCAAATCACCAGTAAAGAGAAATTAATTACCCAATCCTATAATGAATAAGCATATGTTTAAATTAAATCACAAGTAGCTTTAGAGAAGTCATAGACGCAGCTCGGATTACATGACATTTGCACTATTAAATAATGTTGATTTGATTATTATTTTGCCTTCCCCAAACCCTGTCTTTAGTTGTGGTATGGTTTCAGCAGATATTATTTATGCAGTTTTGTTACTGGCATGGATAAATGCCATCTACCTTTGAAAAACCACAAATAATCCATCTTTTGATTTTTATTTGTTTCTTCAAGTGTGTGCTTGTCTTTTTAGGACCTATGCCTATACTTGTATATTTCCCCCTCTGCTAGCGAAGTCTGAGAGGCTAATTTAGTCCCATGATACTGTCAGTGTTCTACACAGTTTCTGTTTTCTGTTGGCCGCATTGGTCTAATTAAGTGTAGAAAACTGTAAGATTAATACTTCTGAATTGCCTCTGACTCCCTCATTGTTACTCATTTTTAAACCCAGGAAAAGGAAGTACTCATGACATTTAGTGCTAGCATGAAACACAGATGACTTCTTGCAGACAAGGTTCCTTGGGTGAATTTGATATCTTTTATTAGACCAACCCAAATGGTTGGAGAATAGTTATTAAGCAAGCTTTCGGGTTCAAAAACCCTTCGTCAGGCTAAGGAAGCTTCAGCAGTTGGTGTGTGCTCTTCCTGGATGCTTGGGCTTTTCTAGGATAGGAAGTTATACAAAATACTTAACATTGTGTAAAATTATTGAATAGTTAAATAATTAACAGCAAAAAAGGGTTAACAGGGTTGGGGAAGAAAAGTATTGTTAACTAGACTGAACACATTCTTCACCGTCCCATTTGCCACAGCTAGAAATATTTTGCTGGGCTAGTAATAATATTTTTCAAAATTAATAAACTTTTTTTTTCAAAGACCGAGTCTTGTGCCAGTAATCAGAAAGTTAAATGTTTACCTATTGGTTGCTATTGTCTTCATTCCAGCACATGAATCATAGTAGAACCTTCTGAAAGTTAATGTAGCCTTGATTGCCTGGTAGAATTGCTCCTCACAATGGCCAGATTCAGAACCAATTTTGTGCTCCCCATTTGCTAGATGAGTGGGGCACAGACGTGTCACAGCAGTGATTATTTGGATTACTGAAGAGAGGGTCAGAAGGTTGCCACCTCTCTTTTTTTCAGCAGCTTCTGGTAGACAATGAACAGAATAACATTGTCAATCATTCCCTTGTTCTGGATGATGCCTACCCATCCTCCCTGCTGGAGTAAAAGCTTCAGTGATCAGTGCAAAGAAAAAAAGAATCTAAAGTTTACAAAGGAGGCGGGAACAAGGCAGGGCCCCAACTAAAGAACTTGGCAGCAGCTCAAATATCTGGGACTATCAGAGAAGCAGCATGCCTGTGCACATGTGTACACACACACACACACACCCCCCCTCACCCTCTGAGTCACTGTCACTGTTCAGGATGCTTCTACAGTTAAGGCTCAAGCAATTACATTTGTTATACATTCAAAATAAAATGTAGAAACAGAAGAATTAGTATAAGAAAATAATACTTAGCTTAGCCTCCTTTCTGATACTGTGTTGTTTCCTGCAAAATATGTCTGTTCAGATTATGCACTAGAACAGGACCAATGACATCTGACTCTAAAAATTCATAAAATGAGATTAAAATAGGAATTGCAGGTAGAGGAGAAAAAGTGGATACTTGTTTTCAACACAATGTTATGCTTAATTTGCAAAGATTTAGGTGACTGCTTTACTACTTATTGCTGTAGGAGTTAAGAAAACACTGAACTGAAACATAGCATCGGTTTGGATGATACTGCTCCTGGTTATACAAGGACAGAATTAACGGAAAGGCTGGAAAGATTCATCAGGGACTGAAGAAGGGAAACTAAGATATTGTTTATTTCCAGGCACAGACCTGTCCACCCTACCTCCATGATCCTCTGCTATAAGATTTCTGAACTGAGCTAAAGCAGGATTCTCTATGGTAGACCATCAATATATGCAGTAAAGCATATCTTACTG